TTTCTACCGGTGTAGTTTTGTGAAAACCAATCAGAATCCATGGCTCTAACGTTTGCCAAAATCTGACCCGAGACAGCTTCATGAAATTCAAAAGCATCAGTATCATTCATGGTTATTCCTGCCTGTTCTAGAACTTCTGGAGTGGCATACATTGGTCCGAGTCATAGTTGGTCTTTTGGATCGTGAGACACATACATAAAATCCCTCAAATATGCCTTCGGCTTATAACCCATGGCCAGAGCCTTTTCCTCTGCCATAATCAACATTGCAGATGTGCCAGCAGTCAAGAAAGAAGAATTTCAGCTGTCACTGTGCCATAGGGCTTGATGAATGCAGGTTTTAGTTTGGCCATCTGCTCCAATGAGGAAGGATGGATGCCATTACCTTTGGTAATTGTATCTTTTCCTGGTACTTCGAATGGTACGTCATCAGAAAGGAATCCTTCCTCCTGTGCCTTCTTGGCCAGACTGGGAGAGCACAGTGCGTCTTCATACTGTTCCAGCCAAGAAACAGCAAAGGAGGTGGCCTGTTGGTCTGCAGAGTGACCCATGGTCTCACCGGTGGAGAACTCGGCAACCGCAGGGAGCTCAGGTGCTAGGAAATTCAATAGGAATTTAGAGATTAAAGACGGTCGCCGGCCCACAGTTTTGGTTTTATTGAGAGCAAGCACCAGTTTAGTTTTCTCACTTTCCTTGAATGGTGAATAGGGACATCAGACATCAGCTGGACGCCACCTGCCACGATCACATCACACTGGCCGGAAGCAATCAAGTCAACACCTGTGGTCATGACTTGGTTGGCAGAGATACAAGCCATGGTGACAATGTGAGCAGGAGTCTTGTCAGAGAAGTCAGTTCCAAGGGCAGCCTCTCTAGCCACATTGCTTGTTTTCACTTCCTGAATAACTGTGCCAAAGATGATATAATCAACTTCCTCGGGGACACTGGTCTGATGCAACAAACCCGTAAATGCTGCTCTAGCCAAATCATGTGACGTCAGATCTTTATAGAAAGCGCCTGACAGCAAAAATGGAGTGCGAACACCATCCACCACCACAATATTCCTTATGTTGGGTTTGGCTAATGTCTTCTTCATTTTGGTCTGGACGGCTTTCAGATAAAGCTAAAAATCCAATGATTCATCCATATAGGAGCCAATCCAGAAACCAGTGTCATCTACGTGTAAGTGATTAACTGTGCTGGTCAGATTCTCTCTCTGGGGCAGCTCGCAGCTGGAGGAACAGCTCAGAGGTCTTATAACTGGAAGACAAAATAAAAAAATCTGAGGGCCTGTTTTGATGTAGTGGGAAGATCTTTTTACTTTTTATTTTTTTGAGACAGAATTTCTCTCTGTTGCCCAGGCTGGAGTGCAGTGGTGCAATCTCGGCTCACTGCAAGCTTCACCTCCTGGGTTCACGCCATTCTCCTGCCTCAGCCTCCTGAGTAGCTGGGACTACAGGTGCCCACCACCACGCCTGGCTAATTTTTTTTTTTTTTTTTTGTATTTTTATTAGAGACGGGGTTTCACCGTGTTAGCCAGGATGGTCTCAACCTCCTGAGCTCATGATCTGCCCATCTTGGCCTCCCAAAGTGCCGGGATTACAGGCGTGAGCCACCATGCCCGGCCATGTAGTGGGAAGAGTTTTAAAAGTGTAAGTCAAGATGGTAGTCATTCTGGAAACTTAACTGATGTTCGTGCAGACTCCTACTCTGAGCAAGGTTCAGACCCAAGTGCCAAGGCTCTGACTGTTGTGTAGATTATTTTGTCACCCAGATATTAAGCCTAGTACCCATTAGTTATTTTTCTTGATCCTTTCTCTTCTTCCAACCCCCACCTTTCAATATGTCCCACTGTCTGTTGTTCCTCTCTGTGACCACATGTTCTCATCATTTAGCTCTCACTAATAGGTGAGAACATGAGGTATTTAATTTTCTGTTCCTGAGTTAGTTTTCTGAGGATAATGACCTCCAGCTCCATCTACATTCCTGCAAAGGACATGATCTCATTCTTTTTTTATGGCTGCATAGTATTCCATGGTGTGTGTATATGTATATGTATGTGTGTGTGTGTGTGTGTGTGTGTGTGTATATATATATATATATACACCTCATTTTCTTGATCCTGTGTATTTTCAAATAACCTGTCTTCACTAATTATTCTTCTGCTTGATCAATTCTGCTATTAAAGGCCTCTGATGCATTCTTCAGTATGCCAATTGCATTTTTTTCAGTTCTGGAATTTTTCTGCTTGATTTTTAAAAATTATTTTAATCTCTATGTTAAATTTATAAGATAGAATTCTGAATTCCTTTTCTGTTTTATCTCGAGTGTCTTTGACATTCCTCAACAAAACTGTTTTGAATTATTTGTCTGAAAGGTCAGATATTTTTGCTTCTCTAGGATTGGTCCGTGGTGCCTTATTTACCTCATTTAGTGAGGTCATGTTTTTCTTGACGGTGTTGATGTTAGTAAATGTTCTTCATTGTCTGGGCTTTGAAGAGTTATATGTTTATTGTGGTTTTCATTATCTGTGCTTATTTGTAGTAATCCTTCTTGAAAAGGCTTTTCAGATATTTGAAAGAACTTGATTGTTCAGCCTAAAAGCTCCTCCAGTTGATAAACAACTTTAGCAACATTGTAGGATACAAAATCTATGTACAAATTCACTAGCATTTCAATACACCAAGAACAGCCAAACTGAGGGCCAAATAAGAAAGGCAATCCCATTCACAAGTGTCACACACACACAAATATAATACTAGGAATACAGCTAACTGGGGAGATGAAAGATCTCTACAATGAAAATTATAAAACGCTCCTTAAAGAAATCAGAGGAGACACAAACAAACGGAAAAACATCCCATACTCATGGATCAGAAGAGTCAATATCATTAAGATGGCTATCCTGCCCAAAGTAATGTACAGATTTAATGCTATTCCCCTCAAACTACCAACAACATTCTTCACAGAAGTAGAGAAAACTATTATAAAATTCATATGGAACCAAAAATAAGCCCGAATAGCCAAGGCAATCCTAAGCAAAAAGAAAAAAGCTGGGGGCATCCCATTACCCGACTTCAAACTATACTACCAGGCTACAGTAACCAAAACGGCATGGCACTGGTACACAAGCAGGCATATAGACCAATGGAACAGAATGGGGTGCCCAGAAATAAGGCCACACATCTACGACCATCTGATCTGTGACAAAGCTGACAAAAACAAGCAATGGGGAAAAGACTCCCTATTCAATAAATGATGCTGGGATAACTGGTTAGCCATATGCAGAAGATTGCAACTGGACTCCTTCCTTATACCACACACAAAAATTAATTCAAGACAGATTAAATACTTAAATGTAAAGCCCAAAACCATAAATCCCTAGAAGACAATCCAGGCAATACTATCCTGGACATAGGAATGGGCAAATATTCCATGACAAAGACACCATAAACAATCACAACAAATGCACAAATTCACCAGTGGGATCTAAGTAAACTTAAGAGCTCCTGCACAGTTGTCTGTATCAACAGAGTGAACAGACAACCTACAGAATGGGAAAACATATTTATAAACTACGCATCTGACAAAGGTCTAATATCCAGCATCTATAAGGAACTTAAGCAAATTTACAAGAGAGAAAACAAACAACCCCCTTAAAATGTGGGCAAAGTACACAAACACACACTTTTCAAAAGAAGACATACATGTGCCAACAAGCATACAGAAAAAACCTCAACATCATTGATCATTAGAGAAATGCAAATCAAAACCACAATGAGAGATCATCTTGCACCAGTCAGAATAGCTATTATTAAAAAGTCAAAAAATAACAGATGCTGGTGGGATTGCAGAGAAAAGAGAACACTTATACACCATTGGTGAGAGTGTAAATTAGTTCAACCATTGTGGAAAGCAGTATGGCGATTCCTCAAAGAGCTTTCAGCAGAACTACCCTTCAACCCAGCAATCCCAATTCTGGGTATATACTCAGATGAATATAAATCATTTTACCATAAAGACACATGGACGCAAATGGTCATTCCAACACCATTCACAATAGCAAAGACATCGAATCAACCCAAATGCCCATCAATGACAGACTGGATAAAGAAAACGTGGCACATATGCACTATGGAATACTATGCAGCCATAAAAATGAATGAGAGCATGTCCTTTGAGGGGCAGGATGGAGCTGGAGGCCATCATCCTTGGGAAACTAATGCAGGAACAGAAAACCAAATACTGCATGTTCTCACTTATAAGTGGGAGCTAAAGGATATGAACACATGGACACATAGAGGGGAACAACAGACACTGGGGTGCATTTGCGGGTGAAGGGAGAAATGAGGGAGAGGATCAGGAAAACAGCCTAGTAATCCCACCACTTTGGGAGACCATGGAGGGTGGATCACAAGGTCAGGAGTTCAAGACCAGCCAGGCCAAGATGGTGAAACCCCATCTCTACTAAAAATACAAAAATTAGCCAGGTGTGGTGGTGGGCACCTGTAGTCCCAGTTACTTGGGAGGCTGAGGCAGGAGAATGGCGTGAACCTGGGAGGTGGAGCTTGCAGTGAGTGGAGATTGTACCACTGCACTCCAGCCTGGTGACAGAGCGAGACTCCATCTCAAAAAAAATTAAAAAAAAACCACACACAAAAAACCAAAACAAACCCCCTTGACACAAGTTTATCTATCTAACAAACCTGCACATGTATCCCTGTACTTAAAAGTGAAAAAAATAAAGGCAATGTGTGTCAGATTTGTGGTGCTGTCTGCTGTTTCACCCCCATATGGAAATGTGTGCCTGACCCCTGCTTTTTTCCTTGCTTATTGTGGCTAGGATTTGTGAGTGTAATTACCATTCTCAAGAATGAGTTTTTTGGCTTCATTGAGTTTTCACGTAGTTGTTTTGTCCTCATTAGTAACTCCTCTTGTTATTTTTGTCCACTTCCTCACACCTTCATTTGGAATAATTTGTCGTTCTTTTTCTAAATTCTATCATTGCCAAGGTCATTAATTACATAGGTTTTATTCTTTTCTAATTCATTCACTCATTTGTAGTTTTCCGATTTCATCATTTAATGTGTAATATTTACATTATCATTCAATTTATACCATTCTCTAATTTCTGTTTTAGTTTTCTCAGCTCATTGATTTATTGAGAAGTCTGTGGCTTTATTTCAAAAATGCAAGGATATTAGTCATCTTTAACTGCAGAATTGAGTGAGTCCCAAAGTTCCCAGGATATCCTCGTGGTCTCTGTTAGGGGTCCAGGCTGGCTGGGGTTCATTGGTGTCCACTGGTGGCAGCTCCCGTGCCTTCTGGAGTCCCTGAGTCTCCTTCTGTTGAGTGTAAGATCTGGGTCCCCCATGGGCTAGTGGATGGCCAGAGTCTCAAAAGACTCTGGGCTAAGCTGGAGGTTCCCCTTCCTGGGTTGGAGGAGGCTCAGTTGCCTCCCGTCTCAGGGTCAAGCTCTGCAGCTGGGCGTAGGTCACATCCTGGGGGGCTTCAGATGCAGCAGCCTGCAGTAGGGGAGAGTGAGAGGGAAGGAACGTGCTGGGGGTGGGGGAGGCCTGGGGGCCTGGAGAGGAAAGGACCAGCCTGAGTGTCCATCTGCCTGTCCTCTTCCACCTGTGTGTCCTTTGTGTCCAGGAATTCCTCAGACACTGGGGAGGGAGGAGAGGTCATTTCTCTCCTAGGTCCGGAGTGTTTCACCTGGGCATACGTCACTGCCTGGGGGTCTTCATTGTGTGGGCTCTGCTGGAGAAAGACACTGGTGGGGGGTGTCCTTGAATCCCCGACCCCCTGGAGTCAATTTTCCTCACTGTTCCCAGGATGATCCGATTACATCCCTTTCCTGATGGAATCTCAGGGACGCCCTATGGCCGTGGAGGGTCTGGCCGCTCCCTCCCTGTGGTTCTGGCCTCTCCTCCTCACTCTGACCTTGCCCATTTGGCTGAAGCCTCACGCCCACCTTCCTGCAAGAGCTTGCTGCTGCCTCAGGACCTTTGCACGGCTGTTTCCTCTGCCTGCAGGGGCTCGTCCATTAGAGGATCCTGTGGCCCCCCTCCGTCCAGGCTTCTCAGATGACAGCTGAGCAGACAGCCCTCCCCTTACATTCAGACTGGCCCCACTGCCCCCCACTCTGCCCTTTCCCTGGTTTATGTTTCTTACAGCACGTTGCACTCCTGCTCATGGTGCATTTAGTTGCATTTTGTCTCCCACCACGAGGTGAGCTCAGGAGGCGGGGGCGGCTCTGCTCCCTGCTGTGTCTGCAGCTCCCACGGGGAGCCCGATCCACAGTGAGCTCCTGGGAACACTAGCTGGATGAATGAATGAAGGGAGCCCAGGGGAGCAGGGTGGTTCATCTATTCCTCATCCTCCTGAGGCCTGGGGAGCACTCTAACCACCAGACGGCCAAACAGAGGAGGAGGAGCGGGAAGGGGACCCGGGAGGAGGCCCGCGAGGTCCCAGGACAGCAGGAGAGAGTGAGGTCACAGCAGGCGGGAGGCAGCGTGCTGGACAAAGAGGGGTCAACCGCAACGATGCTGAGAACCGGGGGAAGAGGACAGAGAAGTCCTGCAGGATTAGATCTGGCACCAGGAGGCCTTTGGTGCCTGGGACAGGGGCGGGGTCTCACCCGACTGTCCAGCTCCACCCCGTCCTCAGGCTGTGTGTCCTTCACGGCAGCATCTGCTGGGCCAGAGCAAGGGGTTTGTCTCCTGGGAAGGTTCCCTGAGACCTCTGAGTCCTGCTGGCCCCTGCCCAGCTCCCACTAGAGTGGCCGAGATCCAGAGAGCGACTGTGATGTCCCCGAGGTCCCATAGTGTGGGTTCAGACCACCTTCCCCTTGGCCCCAGACCCTTCCCAGCCTGTGCTCATGCCCCCATTGCTACAGAAACTTTGGAGCCCCCTTGCCCACCCCAGGTGCCCCCCTTTTCTTGTCACTCACTGAGAATTTCCTCCTGGGCGTCAGCAACTGGGCTGGCCCTGGGGGAGGACACGGGAGTGTGAGGGGCAGTGAGGGGCCTGTGCGGGCGGATGGGAGTCTGGGGTCTTTAGGCAGAATTACCTCCTCTGCAGGACCTGGTCTTTGGGCTCTGGCTCCGCAGCCCCTGCAGGACGGTAGAAATGGGCTGGACAGAAATGGACAGAGTGTCAGGCTTGGGAGAATTCGAACCAGCTGCCCTGTACACACAACTTGAGCAGAAAGAAAGAAACCTGGAGGCCCACTGGCCCTGAGGTTTTAAATACATCATAAATTTAAAGTAAAATCAGAAGAATCAAGCACCGCCACGCATGCTCACATTTATTCTCTTCTTTCTCGATGTTTCACCTGGGAATTTCTGGAGCAGTTTTTCTAAGCTGAGTTTCCTGTGTGTTTGGGTTCCCTTTGGCTGGTGCCCTGAGCCCACCCTCAGTCAGCCCACGGGTCACCCCATTCCCTACTCACCCGATGTCCTGTGTTTGCTCTGATGCCGATGTCGGAGGAGAAGGAAGAGGAGGAGGAAGAGCAGCAGGATGAAGGCCACTGAGACCCCGGTCACAACCCCCAGGTGCCTTCCCAGACCTTGAGCGTGATGACATCAGGAATGGGTATGACGTCATTGATGTGAGCACCTACTGTGTGCAGGCGCGAGCTAGGTCTTTCCTTCATGAGCTCCAACCCTCACAGCAGTCGTGCAACATGGGATTGCCAACCCCCCAATTCACAGAGGAGCAAACTGAGGCTCAGAGAGGGGAATCGCCTGCCCCAGGCCCCCCAGCCTGGAAGAAGCAGGTCTGGGAAGGGAACCCGGGACCTTGTGTTTTCCCCAGTTGTTCTCCTGCTGCCCTACCAGGTGGACACCCGCTTCTTGCTCTGGGTCTCTTCATCTGACAGGAGAGGCCTGTGCTAGTGTCTCCATCTGGGACTGGTGTCCTCCTTACCACCCTCCCTTCCCCAGCACACCAGGACCTGGGGGAAGGAGTGGGCTGTGCAGGACGGACCCTACATTGCTCTCACCCCCAGCTCAGCCAGGTCCGCTTCCCACTCTGCCGAGTTCCCACACTCCCATGCAGAACCTGTCTGGATAGAGGCTCTGTGTGTATCTGGGAAGGGCTGAGGGTAGCAGGAGGGCTGTGTCCCTGCTGAACTGTGTACAGGGCCAGATCCCGAGATTTCACTTACGCCTCGTAGCGGTTCTATGAGCTGGATGGGACTGAGTCCGTTTACAACTGCTGAACCTGACTTGGAGTAGAAAATTGACCTGCCTGGGGCCCCATGGTGGGATGCAGCCGAGCTGGGAAGTGAACCCGGGAGTCTGACCTGCAGCCCTTGTTCCCAGCACCAGAGCCGAGCCCTGGAGCTGCAGGGAAAGAGCCTGAATGCCTCAAACCATGGCCCTGCTCCCCTCCTCCACTCCAGGTCTCCGTCACTGCTGCAGGTGGGACAGGACAGGCCCCTGAAGAATCCCACCTGTGCAGGCCTCTCTCCTTTACACTTGGAGAAACTGAGGCCCAGGCAGGGGAAGGGCTTCTGCACATCACCATCTCCAGAGGAGCCTGAACCTAGGACAGAACCCACCCCTGCCTCCCCAGGACCCCGTCCACCTCCCACTCAGAGCCCCCACTCACCACTCTGGGGGTCCGACCCCGTGGGGTTGAGGGGCTGGTCCTCAGAGCCTGCTGGGTCAGGATGGGAAGGTGAGGGCTGGGGCGGCCCTGCCCCCCACGTCAGCCCGGCTGCTCCTCCCCCAGGCTGGGCCCCAACACCTCCCTCTGCCTCGCCCCCCTGCCCCTCACCGGCCCAGCCTGAGCCCCTGGCAGCCTGTGGCCCCTCCTGTGGCTCTGCCCGGCTCCCTGGAGGGAAGCTCATGCTTGAGTCTTTGAGGGGAATGGGATCCTCCAGGAGACTCAGGGCTGCCCTGGGGGAGGCCGTGCTCCCTCTGAGCCCAGATCTCAACGACTCACCAGGTGTGGGGGTGGAGCCTGTGGGTGGGGGGCTGGGGTCCCCAGAGGGTCCTGGGAATAAGCACAGGCAGGGAGTGAGGAGCTTTGGTGCTGGAGTCCCCTCCTCCACTGAGACCCCTCCCTCCACCTGCTCTGTGGCTTCTCCGGAACTTCCTTCTGCTTACGTTTCACCTTTTGTGACCTAGGAGATGGGGCCAAGGGTGGGCGTGCCTGGGGTGCCCTCACTGTCCTCCTCCCCTCTGAGGGGTGAGTCCCCCTCTGGCTGAGCCTCCCATCACGACCCCCCCAACCCTGACTCCATCCCAGCCCAGAGCTCTCTCAGGGTCAGGGTCCTCACCTGAGACCACGAGCTCCAGGGGGTAACTAGGGCTTGACAGCAGGTAGGGGTAGGACCTGATTGCGCTGTAGCATCGGTAGGTTCCACCCTGGGCTGAGGTCACAGGACCCATGGGGAATTCAGCCTGGTATGTATAAGACTGGTACTTGGACTTTAGACGCAGCGGGGGATGGCCGCACCCTCCTTGGTAAAAAATAAAGTGTCTATGTTGTGCCATGATTGACACAGCAGGGTCACGTTCTCTCCTGAGGCCACCGTTGGGCCCGGCCGCACTGAGATGGAGGGTGTGTCACGGATCAGTCCTGGAGAGAAGGAGGATGGGTGAGGGGCTACCCCACCTTATTCTGAGCTGAGACCTCCCCAGGCCTCTCTAGGAGCCTCTGTCTCTGTTTTCTCTGAGTCTCCCCCTCCCCGCCCATCCCATCTCTGTCTGTCTCTCCCTCCCTTGGGACGCCCCCACCCCTCATCCCGGACATCACTAACTGGATTCCCCGGCAGGGCCTGTGCAGAGCCTGGGTCCCTGACTGAACCCGCTGGGCTCCTCACCTGCGATCAGGATGTCCAGGGGGTCACTGGGGGCTGACCACTTAGGGGAGAGGTTGTGTCCGCCGTAGCATCTGTACTGGCCCCCGTGGGAGCGGCTCACAGGGCTCAGGGTGAAGTTGGCCTGGGAGAGCCCAGCCTGGGGTTGCTGGCCAGGGCGCTGGAGGAGGACATGTCCCCCCTTCTGGTACAGAGCGAATCTGTCGTAGCCGACATCAGAGCGACACTGCAGGGTCAAGCTGCCTCCACTGGCCACCACAGGGCCCTGCGGGGCCAGGAGGGAGGGCTTCCTAGACACGCCTGGAGGGAAAGACGGGTTGGGACTCCGAGGGCTGGTTCCTCCTCTGCCCCTTCCTTCTCCAGTCCTGGCCCTGCAGGTCTCACTGTCTCTCACGCTCTGTGTCTCAGATCCCAGGGGCTCCTTCTCACCTGGGTCTGTCTTGGAGAAATTCCAGACCCATGGTGTCTCCCTGGCTCCTGGCCACTGTCTGTCTGGTCTGTCCTCTCCTCACAGGGGGACAGGAAATTGCAGCAGATACACCCAGTGCCTTCCTGAGTTGACCCCTTTCCAGGTGAGGGTGACTCAGGCTCCTCTTTCCCTACTGAGCCTCCCCATGGGGTCTTCCTCACAGCTTCAGCCCATCCATCAGCACATCCTCCTGGGGTCCTGGCCATGATCAGTCATCAACCAAACTCCCAACAACCTATCTGGCTCCCCAAAATTATATAAAGAAGCCTGGTGGCCTTTTCACCTGGGACCAGAATCTCCAGGGGGTCGCTGGGGTTCGACCACGCCTGAGGGTTTTTCCTGTAGTAGTAATAGCATCTGAACCTCCACCTGGAGCCGGGGGTCATGGGACCCACAGGGAACAGGGCTTGGGAAGGCCCTTTGGGGAGGTTCTGTGAATACAGGGTCCTGGGGAGCTTCTGTTCTTCCTCAACAAGAACAAACGTGAGAAATCCGTCCCGTATATCACACTGGAGGGTCACATTCCCTCCTGAGGCCACCACAGGGCTGGGCAGGGCTGAGAGGGTGGGCTCTGCATAGAATCCTAGGAGAGAAGGAGGCACCGTGTTAAATGGGACTCACATCTCCCGTATCATCCCCAGGGCTGGGCTGTGAGAGGGAGACGCCCCTGAGAGCCGACCCCCTTCCTGAGGGCAGAGCCTGGGGCTGGGACCCCTGAGTGTCCTCTCACCTGTCACCACCAGCTCCAGGGGGTCACTGGGCTCTGACCAACCTGCAGGGGTCTCAAAGTAGCAGCGGTATTGCCCTGCAGTGCTGTACACCGTGGAGCGAATGTGGAACTTGGCCTTGGCTCCAGGCTCCAGTGGGTTCTGTCTCCCCCAGGTCCATGGGAGTCCCTCCTGATCCAGACGGTACTCCTGAGTCTCCAGGGGCCCCTGACACCAGAGGGTCACGGGGCTCCCCCTTATGATCACAGAGCCTGGCTCAGCCCAGAGGGTGGGTTTGGGGGGGGTGCCTAGAATGGAATCAGAGGCTGGATCCCAAGACATCCTCATCCCTCAGATACTAGCTCCCAGCCCCAGGACCCTCCAGATGTCCCCATCAGTCAGCCCAGAACAGCAGTCTCCACTCCCAGCTGCCCGGGGTTGGGTCTTTGTCCCCAGTGAGGAGGAGGGACCTGGGAGAGCTGGGGACAGACTCACCTGCCTGCACGTGGGTCCTGGGGCCCAGACTCAACCCTGGAAGAGAGTTCCCTGTGAGAGATTTGCCCGCCGAAGCCTCAGGAGTTCCTCTCCTCCCTCAAAGCCTCTGATAGACCAGATTTTCTTTTTTCTTTTTTTTTTTTTTTTAGACGGAGTCTCGCTGTGTCGCCCAGGCTGGAGTGCAGTGGCGCGATCTCGGCTCACTGCAAGCTCCGCCTCCCGGGTTCACGCCATTCTCCCGCCTCAGCCTCCGAGTAGCTGGGACTACAGGCGCCCGCCACCACGCCCGGCTAGTTTTTTGTATTTTTAGTAGAGACGGGGTTTCACCATGTTAGCCAGGATGGTCTCGATCTCCTGACCTCGTGATCCACCCGCCTCGGCCTCCCAAAGTGCTGGGATTACAGGCTTGAGCCACCGCGCCCGGCCTTTTCTGACAGACCAGAGCCTGGCTTTAGACTGAGTTCCCTCCAAGACTGGGGCCTTCCTTTCCCCTCTTCAAACCTCACCGAGGCACATCAGGACTGGGAGGGTGAGGGTCATGGCGTCAGCTCCCACTGGACTCAGCTGTGCGGGCAGATGAGACCACAGTGCGTGGCGGGACACAAAAACACGCAGAGTGTGGACTGGAGGCTGGGTTCTCGCTGTCACAAGGCTGTCCCGTCCGCAACAGGAAGGGGAACCGCCCTCCCCAAGAGCCTGGCTCTCATTTCCCCAGGGATGGGGCTGGGGTGACCTCCAGGCTCTCCGCAGACATTTCAGACAGAAATGGGGTCGCCCTGAGCCCTAGCCACTGTCTAGTGACCTATGCTCAGCTCACCAAGGGCTGGGGCACAGCAGCAAAACCCCCTCCTCCGGGAATGAACCCCTGAGTCGTTCCTGCCTCCTCAGTGCCCCTTTGTCCTTGGCCGTCCCTCTCTACCTCCAACCATGTTCAAGGTTTTCAGAACAATTACTCAGGTTTGTCATCTGACTCAGGGGGTGGAGGAGGGAGCTGAATTTTATTCCCACTTCCACTGATTACATGATCTTAGACAGTAAAGTGGCTTTTGCTTGAGCCTTGTTTATTTGGAGCTTGTGGTCATGACCTCAGCTTCTCAGAGTGGACGTGGGGGTCAGTGGTGCCTGGGACATGGGAGGGGGATCGGCCATGGTGAATTTCCAGACCAGATTAGGACAGGAGTGGTTGGGGTGTGAGAGGATCCTGGCGTTGAGCTCTGTAGTTGAGGAGGATGTTTGATGCCCCCACTCAAGAGCCCACATCTGCTCCAAATACCAAGAAACGCTCCTTATAATATGTTTGAAGTTCCCGGCACGGTGGCCCACCCCTGGAATCTGAGCGCCTAGGGAGGCTGAGGATGGAGGATCCCTTGAGCTCAGAAGTTCAAGACCAACCTGGGGAACGTAGTGAGACCCCGTGTCTGCCTATAATAAAAAAGAAATAATCAGGTGTGTTTGTGCATGACTGCAGTCCCAGCTATTTGGGAGACGGAGGTGGGAAGATTGCCTGAGCCTGGGTGGTCCAGGCTGCAGTGAGGTATGATCATAGCACTGCACTCCAGCCTGGGTGAGACAGCAGGACCCTGTCTCAAAACATACATACATATATATATCTGAAATGTGTAGATTATGAAAGTTTTGTGCAGAAAAAGAAATGAAAAGTTTTTTTTAACTTGAGAAGGTTGCACATCAAAGAACAGAGTTGAAAGCTAACAGCTAGCGTGTGTCTAAGACCATCCCGGGGTCATTAGGGAGGAAATTTCCACTTTTGTGTGGGACAAAAGAGGAACCCCTCACAGTCAGGGAGGGGGTAGGGGCTCCAGATGAAGCTGTTTGTGGACAGGAGCTGGGATATCTCCGCCCACTGACTGAAGTCCGCGATCAGCATGGGGCCGCCTCTCCTGTTTTTGTGTTTAATAGATTCAGTCGCAGGGCGTGGTGGCTCATGCCTGTAATCCCAGCACTTTGGGAGGCTGAGGTGGGCGGATCATCTGAGGTCGGGAGTTTGAGACCAGCCTGACCAACATGGAGAAACCCTGTCTCTACGAAAAATACAAAAAAATTAGCTGGGCATGGTGGCGAGCGCCTGTAATCCCAGCTACTTGGGAGGCTGAGGCAGGAGAATCGCTTGAACCCAGGAGGCGGAGGTTGCGGTGAGCCGAGATCGTGCCATGTACTCCAGCCTGGTCAACAAGAGCTAGACTCTGTCTAAAAACAAACACACACACACACACACACACACACACACACACACACGAAAAAAGCCCCCAAAACCAGATTCAGTCCACTGTTTCCAGACAGTGCGTCTGTCATATGTGCGTCTATCCCACATATGAACCTGAGGCTGGCATTAGTCCTGTCCCTCCTGGGTATAAACCAGAGCTGATGCTACTTTGGGGACAGCGAGACAGGAGCAGCTGCCACAATCCCCCATCACAAGGTCTGATGCCAGGGACAGCCTTGGGAGAAATCCTTTTTGCAAGATCAGGTGTGTGGGAGGAAAGTCACCCGACAAGAATGAATAACAAATGGTATATTAAACAAAAAAGGCGTCTGTTTATTTATTAGTATTTTTTAAACAACTGGGTATTTATTGAGATGAGTTAGGCAGATATTGTGAAGGCAAAATTGTACCTTAAATTAATACCATTAAAAATAAGATCGTATCGGCCGGGTGCAGTGGCTCATGCCTGTAATCTCAGCACTTTGGGAGGCTGAGGTGGGCAGATCACGAGGTCAGGAGTTCAAGACCAGCCTGGCCAGTATGGTGAAATCCCGTCTCTACTAAAAATACAAAAATTAACCGAGTGTGGTGGTAGGTGCCTGTAATCCCAGCTACTCAGGAGGCTGAGGTGGGCAGATCACGAGGTCAGGAGCTCAAGACTAGCCTGGCCAATATGGTGAAATCCCGTCTCTACTAAAAATACAAAAATTAGCCAAGTGTGGTGGTAGGTGCCTGCAATCCCAGCTACTCAGGAGGCTGAGGCAGGAGAATCGCTTGAACCCAGAAGGTAGAGGTTGCAGTGAGCCGAAATTATGCCATTGCACTCTAGCCTGGGCAACAGAGCAACACTTTGTCTCAATAAGAGTAAATAAAATAAAATAAAATAAAATAATCATATCATCTGCAAGCAAGGATAATTTGACTTCTTCCTTGTCAATTTGATGCCCTTTATTTCTTTCTCTTGTCTGATTGCTGTAGCTAGACCTTTCAGAATTATGTTGAATCACAGTGGTGAACGGGGGCATTCTTTGTCATGTTCAAGATCTTAGAGGAAAGATTTTCAGTTTTTCTTTATTCAGTATGATACTAGTTATGGATCTGTCATGCTTGGCTTTTATGATGTGGAGGTATGTTCCTTCTACACCCAGTTTTTGAGACAGAATCTCGGTCTGTCACCCAGACTAGAGTGCGGTGGTACGATCTCAGCTCACTGCAACCACAGCTTCCTGGGTTCAAGCGAGCACATCAGCTAATTCTTGTATTTTTAGTAGAGATGGGGTTTCACCATGTTGGCCAGGCTGGTCTCAAACTCTTGACCTCTAGTGATCTGCCTGCCTCGGCCTCCCAAAGGTCTGGGATTACAGGCGTGAGCCACTGTGTCTGGCCACACCCAGGTTTTTTTTTTTTTTTTTTTTTTTTAAGGCTTGTTGATTTTTATCAAATGCTTTTTTGGCATCAACTGAAATGATCATATGCTTTTTGTCCTTCGTTCTGTTGATAAGATGTATCACACTGATTGGTTTGTGTATGTTAAATTATCCTTGCACCCCAGGGATAAATCCTGCTTGGTCATGATGAATGATCTTTTTAAATGTATTGTTGAATTCAGTTTGCTAGTGTTTTGTTGAACATATTTGCACCGATATTCATCAGACATTGACTTGTAGTTTTATTTTCTTGATTTGTCTTGGTCTGTTTTTGGTATCAGGGTAATACTAGCCTTGTAGAGTGACCTTGGAAGTTTTCCCACCTCCTTTTCTCTGAATAGTTTCAGTAGGATTGTTACTGGTTCTTTAAATGTTTGGTAGATTCAGCAGTGAAACTATCGGGTCCTAGGCTCTGCTTTACTGGTAGACTTTTTATTATGGCTTCAATCTTGTCAGTTACTTGTCAGTTATTGGTCTATTCAGAGTTTGTATTTCTTTTCTTTTCTTTTCTTTTCTTTTTTTTTTTTGAAACAGAGTTTCGCTCTTGTTGCCCAGACTGGAGTGCAGAGGCGCAATCTCGGCTCACTGCAACCTCCTCCTCCTGGGTTCAAGCGATTCTCCTGCCTCAGCCTCCTGAGTAGCTGGAATTTCAGGTATGCGCCACCACACCTGGCTAATTTTGTATGTTTAGTAGAGATGGGGTTTCTCTAGGTTGGTCAGGCTGGTCTCGAACTCCCCACCTCAGGTGATCTACCTACCTCAACCTCCCAAAGCGCTGGGATTACAGGTGTGAGCCACCATGCAGGGCTCAGAGTTTGTATTTCTTGATGATTGAATCTTTTTTTTTTTGAGACGGAGACTTGCTCTGTTGCCCAGGCTGGAGTGCAGTGGTGTGATCTCGGCTCCCTGCAAGCTACGCCTCCCGGATTTACACCATCCTCCTGCCTCAGCCTCCCAAATAGCTGGGACTCCAGGCACTCGCCACCACGCCCAGCTAATTTTTTGTATTTTTAGTAGAGATGGGGTTTCACCATGGTCTTGATGTCCTGACCTTGTGATCCACCCACCTCGGCCTCCCAAAGTGCTGGGATTACAGGTGTGAGCCACCACGCCTGGCCATAGAAGCAGTCTTTGAGCTCTGAGATTCTCTTCTCATCTTGGTCTATTTTGCCGTTACTACTTTTTATTGTATTATGCAATTTTTGTAATGAGTTTTTCGGCTCTGTAAAATCAGTTTCTTTCTTTCTTACAATGTCTATTTCATCTTCCACCTCTTGTGTCATTTTACTGGGTTAGATTCCTTGGATTGGGTTTCAACTTTCTTCCGTACCTCAACGATCTTCGTCTGGCACCCAGATTCTGAATTCTACGTCTGCCATTTTAGCCATTGCATTAAAAATCACAGATGGCCACATAATAAACGAAAGTAGCACCGTACCTCTATCACCCCATCCCCCAGTCAGGATCAGCTTGGAATAAAGAGGGACTTCTCCTTGATGGAAAAAGCTGAGAAAAGAACCTAGCAGCTTCCATCAACACTTGGGACACCTGTAGATCTCACCGTTGGAGATTCCCTTTCACAGATGCTAAGCACAGCTGATGGAGCTACCCACCACACAGCTGCACTCACCCAGGAGAAAAGACCGACACTGTGCCCCACTGTCCGTGGCTGTTGTGGCTCTGGCACTATGCCATTGTGGAATGGGATCCACTCTGGATCTCCGGGGGACACATAGCCACAGCATTCTTCCATTGCTGAGGGGTTGTCACCGCTGAGCCAGCCTTGCCTAGTGGCCTGCCATCCCCGGGCTGAGCTGCTGCTATTCACTATCCTGTTGTGCCAAGCTGCCGTAGAGCCACTCTATCCACCTTTCCCAGTAGCAGATGCATCCTGACCCTCAGGCACTGAGCTGAAGTGGAAATGGTGCCATGGGTTTCACAAGAGTAATGACCCTGTGCCTGTGCTGATGTGACAACCTGTGTAGTAGGGTTCTCCAGGGGGACAGAACTAATGGTGTATATATATGTGTGTGTATGTGTATATATATGTCTGTGAATATATATTATTATGTTAGTGTATCAGTCAGGGCATATATATTATTATATTAAGGTATTAGGGTTCTCCAGGAGGACAGAACTAATGGTGTATATATATGTGTGTGTATGTATATATATGTCTGTGAATATATATTATTATGTTAGTGTATCAGTCAGGGCATATATATTATTATATTAAGGTATTAGGGTTCT